TAGTGCACCTTTTGAGTGAGTTGGTCAGGGAACTTGAAGCAAAATTTGAGAAACTGCAAGTTGATGGAAGAATTTGCTAAGAATGGGAAGCTTTCATTTCTAGCATATAATACATATATTTGCTGAATTAAACCATGATTGGTGTTTTAAAAGCTTCAACTTCTAAGATAGTGATAGTCAAATCAAGTTTTGGCATAGACAAAGGGGACGGAATTGTGAGTATTCGCTCCGCGTTTCTCGGAACCCTATTCCCGCGAGCACTAGGGTTTCGACTTTGCAGTGATGAGTGTCGCAGGCGACTCGCCAGGGGCTTTGGGGGAACTGTACCCCCACCCTCCGTTGTGAGAGATCAATCATCCCCTATGCAACTCTCTAAGAAGGCCAAACCTACCTCGGATGGGGAGTTTACTGGTAGCGTAGCGATGCAGGTGGAGATGGATGCGAACGGGACGGCTATGCGGCTGCCTTGGCGCCGACTCTGGGGGTACCTCCAAGTTCTGGCCAACCGGGTGGAGCTCTGTTTGGGGTGCCAACAAACTAAGGGAAGACAGTAGATGTACCTGCTAGGTCTTACAGAGACCTCGTTGCTAGTGGGGACAAGGGGCAGAAGACCCGAGAGGAGGAACCCGAGGTGGAGATGGAAAGCGAAGATGAGGGCAAGCCGGATTGCCCTAAAATCTGACTCGATCGGACCATGAAACAGAGGCTGGGAAAAGTTTGGAGCAGGGTGACATGCTAAAACACAACACCAAACTGCGACCAAGTGTAATCGCAGTCCGAAAATGCAGTAACAGGAAATTCTAATGTCAACCCGGGGTCTAGATCTACTGCCTACTCCGTGAATATCTATTATCTAGCCAACTAAGTCAAGTGATTGTTGATTTAAGTAAAAGCAGTAAGAAAGCAGGAAATGGTTCGGTTTTCTGAAGCAAAGGAAGAGTCACTCGGGAATGAGTCCCCCTAGCTCCTTAGTTAGGTCTCAGTTGTAATTACCCTGGGTTGATTTACTGTTGATTAAACTGCGGAAGATCCGACAGTAGCTTTGAATCTCTTAAGCTGACCAAGCCCTCTCAATCCAACTACCCGGCAGACGACTAGTCTTCATCGGGATAGAAAGCTGAGGCTATGAACACAGAACTCCACTACTGGAATTGGATTCCAGTACAAAGCAGTAGATTGACTAACTCTCGTATAACCAATCTATCACTACCGAATGATAAAGCTCTAACAACTTAATCAGATTCTATCTATCTCAGGTTGCAGCAAAAATCAAGAATAGATGATCAGACTTCAATTGATTCAACAAATCATGCATCATTCGATTAAAATCAAACAGTATAACAATCCCAAGTCATTACAATCAAGATCCCTAACACATGGAACTAGGGTTCTTCATACCCAAGTGAGAGAAGGTTCTACTCCATAGAGAGAGAGAGGGAAACAGAATACAAAGCAGTCATACTCGTAATGATGGGAAGAATCTGCTCTGGGATGATGATCTTCACTCCAAGAATGATTTCCAAGCTTGATTTACGAAACCTAGCTCCAAAACCACTCTTAGGGGGTGTTCTTCGCACTTTCTCTCTCTAGGGCTCTATTTTTGCTCCAAAAAGTCGATCCCCTCTCCTTTGGCTCGAAATTGGGTTAAAACCCAGAAATTCCCGACCACACGGGCAGGCCACATGGCCGTGTGACTTTCTCAGCTGCCCGTGTGAGTGTGCAAAACGCGGCCTTTCGATTAAGTGGGTTCGGGTTCGCTACACGGCCAAAATCACACGGCCGTGTGAGTTTCCAGGATGCCCGTGTGAAATTCACCGAGCCTTCACACGCCCACATGGGTTCCCTTACACGGCCAGTGTGGCCTGCCCGTGCAATTTGGTGTCACACGGTCAGGTCTCACGGCCGTGTGGGATTTTAGGCATGCCCGTGTGGCTTCCTCGGCTTCTCGCCAAACGTCCGATCTTCGTCCAATCGACCCCGAACTCGTTCCCAAACCTTCATTCACGTACTAGGACCTGAAATATCACAAACAAGAACAACCTAGCGTGAAATCAGCCTAAAACACGAGAAATCAGACTCAAATGGTATAAGAATGGTGGACAAAAACATGTGTATATATCAAGTCATCAAATTCCCCCACACTTAACCGTTTGCTTGTCCCCAAGCAAACCAAGTCAGATACAAGGTAAGCTCACATATTTCAATCATACCAACATTGGGGACAAATCATAGAGGCACAGAACACGCGAATCGTACTGGCTTTCAAACATCATCACATGAAAAACTTCAACAGCAACCTGGACACCCACAACAGAGGACATTCGAGTGCATTAAAATCGGGTAAAGGGAGAGTCTCCCTTCTGTTCATCAACCAACATAGACTTGACTCAACCACTCACTCAAGACAGTCACCTCATGCACAAAACTCAAGATATCAGAATTGAGACCGAGCAATCTAGGTCCTCACCGGGGTAAAGAGTATAGATAATATGAGAAAATGAATCGCTCACTCTCGACCAGTGGGGTCAGGACAATTTGATGCGAAAAATGCGCATGCTTATTCTTTCAATCCCTAACATCTCTTCACCATGACGACAGCCTCTAAATGTTAGAGTTCACATAAATGGGTGTCATCACTAACTAATCCGGAGGTCTTAGACACAGGTTCAAATGACTGGCTAGGGTCTTGGACATGGGGAAAAGGCCTTTTAGGTGGTGGAAGTATTCATAGCACAAGGTTCCACAATTCCAAATCCAACACAATCACAGTCAATCAAACCACTTACTTTCTTTCTGCCATTCTGCATTACTCACATTCTTTAGAGCACAAGAGTGAAGGAGGTCATATGAATGTTAGCATTTCCAAGCCAGACTGCTAAGAAACACTACTTAATGGGCACTATTCAGATTTTTGGTGGTGGCTCTCTTTTGCTTTCATTCTTTTTTTTATTTTTGTTTTCTTTTTTCATTTCTTGATAGAACCACCACCTATGCACACTTTTCAAACACATGCCCAACTTTTTAAGAACTACCTCCAACCCTCACATTATATTTAGTAGAAATAGTAGAGAACATGTAAAAACCACTCTGTGGAACCTTATAAGAGATGCAAAAGGGTGATTTTCCATTGTAGACCGAAAGAAAAGATAACACACGGCTCAAAGGGCTGACTAGGGGATATGACACATCAGGACAGTCAATTTGGTCGTGGGATATTCCTATGCCTCCATCATCTTACCTAATGACAACGTGAATGCTACATGTCATGGAAGAGTGAACTATCGCACAAGAAAGAAACGAGCAGGCTCAAATCTCACATGGCTACCTATATGCTCTATCTCTCATTCTGATTCCCTGAACTAGATGCATAAACGACTGTCAAGAACAAGTGATCAATCCAAGTCACAGTTAATAAGCAAACAGTTGAAAAACTAAACCCTACACAATTCTACTGCACGTCTCAGTCATCATCATAGGTTGTCCTAGTTACAATCAAGCTGTCATGCAATAATCCGAAAAACCATTCGATTCACCAATCAAATCACAGTGCCAATACGATCAAGCAAACAACAGTACTTGGAGCCCTCAAATCTCGAGATTTGGACAGCGGACTAGGCTCCAAGCACACATATATAGATTCCAACCGATACAAAGCACCCCCCACACTTAAGCACGACATTGCCCTCAATGGAGCAGAGGGAAAGAGAAGGGGAACGATGTTACCGGATGGAAAGACTGTCGGGGGACTGGAAGTGGACCAGTCAGCTGGGCTAGCATCAGCAAAACACACTGGGTGATAGAAACCATAGTTCCAAGTGGACAAACCGAAACACAAACGAAAGAAAAACAAACCTTGGTGGGGTTGCCTCCCCACAAGCGCTTCTTTACCGTCTTTTAGTTGGACGCCAGTAGGGTGGATGCTCAGAGAGGTGAAGGAACAGGTGCCTCCAAGAGCGGATCCACATCGCTCTTGAGGTACAGCTTCAGGTGGTGGCCATGCACACGACGAATGTGGCCACCAGCACTCGTCAACTCGACTTGGCCATCCGGCAGGATGCAAGCGAGTGAGACCAACTCATAGTGGTCTCCGGTTTTCTTGTGAGCTGGCTTAGCTACCTGCAGCATCGCTCCTCCTTGATCTTGTCTTTTGGTATCGGAGTGGATGGGAGTGGCGGCGAAGATATGTGAGAGGGATCCTGCAAAATGGGAAGCACAGAAGGATACACGACAGACTCGTGCTCCTGGTGAGAAACAGCATGCAGAGGCGATGAAGCAGGGAGAGTAATAGCAATGGAAAAGGTTATTCGCTCCTCGCCATCCCTCAAGAATAAGGTCCCATCATGTACATCTATGAGAGCCTTGGCGGTGGCCAGGAAAGGCCTTCCCAGTATAAGGGGCACTTCTGTGTCCTCATTGATGTCCAAGACAACAAAATCCACATGATAAAAGAATCTGCCAACCTTAACCGGCCAGAAGGTCTTCCACTATGCCCCTAGGATGAACTATAGATCGGTCAGCTAATTGAAGACTCATCCTAGTTGCACTGGGTTCACCTAGGCCTAGTTTCTTGAACAATTTATATGGCATGACATTGATACTAGCACCTAGATCCGCCAAGGACCTCTCTACATGCAATTTACCTATAGAGCACGGGATAGTAAAACTACCTGGATCCTTCTGCTTCGGCGGAAGCTTGTTCTGCAGAATGGCCGAGCACTCCTCGCTGAGCTCCATAGTGGCCAGCTCACTCAGCTTCTGC